GCTTTAATGAATTCACTTTAACATGTGTCTAATTGGGAGGTATGCAGTAGCGTAGTTGGTTGAGGCACTATGCTACAAGCTGGAAGGTCATGGGTTCAAGTCCCGATGAGGTCATTGGATATTTTTCAATTGAACTAATCCTTCCAGCTGCACTATGGCCCTGGGGTTCACTCAGCCTCTAACAGAAATGAGTACCAGGAATTAAATAAATAATTTTCTTGGGGAGTAAAGCGCGGCTGGTGGGTAAGGCTGACAACCTTACTGCCTTCTTTGAGCCGACTGCCTAGATAATGTGGGACCCTCAACGTCTCACAACCCTATGGGCCTTCATGGCCTGTTACAGAGATAGCTTTACTTTTTTTACTTACTTTACATTGCTATTCAATAGAACTTAACCTCTACTGACAGAGGGGGAGAACTGAATGTGGAGTCCCACAAGGCTCTATTCTTGGTCCCTTGTTCTTTTTACTTTATATAAATGATTTACCAAAGATACTAAACGATGATAAATACCGTATTTACACATGTATAGGCCGCACATTTTTTGCCAAAAATTCAAGAGGAAAACTGGGGTGCGGCTTATATTCGAAATATTCGAAATCACACTTCATTTAAAAAAAATATATTCATAATTAGTAATACAGAGTGTTATACTCCTGAAATAATATTCCAAGAAAATTATTTTTTCTATAATTTGTCTGAAAATTTTGTTGCGGCCTATACATGCGTAAATACAGTATATGGTTTTGTATGCGGATGACACGAGTATAATAATTACAGATATAAATAATTCAAATTTTGAAATAAATCTTAATCAAACTACAAAGACAAAAATATCACCATCTAATGTGACTATTTAAGTTTTATCATTTGAAGACTCATCACCCTTACATGTTTCGATCCCTACAGATCGTCCTTAGAGGGCATCAATACTTTTTCGGAAACTACTATTAGAATAGATGTTAATTACATACATACACATATAATGTCTGAAATGCACAATGTACACAGTGTTCAACCTTTCACATTCACAGCAGCCTTCCTGGTGTTAAAACTTTTTTAAAAACTTTCTAGGAATCTAAACAACACAGCAGGAGACGAATAAACATGGAAATACTAAGAATCTCCTTTCACAAGATCGACAGGCGGCACAGGATCAGCCACCTCCAAGAATAACAATACGAGAATTGACACGAACTGGTATGGTTTATAAATTTTAAGCTTGAACTGCCACCACTATCATCATTCCTCAGTATCAATATGTTCATTGTGTCATGAGGTTATATGACTCGTGGTAAGTTTCCTTCTACCAAATATGCTTTCAAAAGAAGAGCAAATTTTCATGCTACAAACTTTCTACAATGAAAGTGTAATATTGTTTCGAGAAACTGGTATGAGAATTCTGAATCTGCCCTACCTACATGTAAGCACAAGTATCACCAGCAGGACGAATTTGAAGAGCATGCCACTGTTTTAGATGCACATATTCCAAGAAGTAGTAGACCAATATGTGCAAGAACTGAAGGAAACATTATGTCTATGGCACAAGTGGTGATGCAGAATTCTGAAAAATCTACACTGATGAAAAACTCTAACTGGAGGAATGTAGCATCGAATAGAGAAGAATGGCGAGCAATCCTGAGGAAGGCCAGGGCTCACAAAGGGTTGTTGTACCAGTGACGACGATGACGACGATGAAAAACTCTGTATCTGACTATGTGTTTGGGGTTTGGATGTGTAATGGTACTACTTCTGACTTCAAAACTGTAAAATACTTCCTCCAAATCATTAGAGGGATCAGATTCCTTTGTCCCTGTCCCTTCATGGCACAGGCCAGTATAGTACCTTAAATCAGAATGTTTCACACAGTGGTTTTGAAATAATCATTTTATGCTGTGCAACCTCGATGATGGAATGGCATGAGAATCTCTATATTCTGTACATCTGCCAAAGTCTCCTGATATATATTACAAATCTGATCATATGAAATAAGATGTCCCTCACCTGAGTGTAATGCTGTCCTGGTAAAGTTAAGTGCTCCTCAACCAACTGTGATACTGTTGCATACGGTTACTGTACATCTTCAGAACAATGGACTGATACAGGAGTCTGTATTACAGTCTTACTTTCATTGCTGCATGTGTCAGATCCTACAGCAACTGCATACACACAGTCACCTTTCACAACTTGCTCAGCAGCTGAAAGGATTACAGATTTGTGATGGCAAAAGTTATTCTGTTCACAAACACTAGTGCTTCTTTCATCAGGGACATAGGCACAGCAAGCATAATATTCACCATGCATTGGTCTGTGGGTTGGTTAATGTGAATATTCATTAAAATTAATATGCCTATTTAGATAGCTGTCAAATGACATAATGAAAATCAAAACATAGAATCTGAGGGTCTCACAGTAGTAGCTATGAAGAGTTGTATCTTCTGGGATATAAAGCCATGCAGCATATTTAAAGTTGAAGGCTGACTTTCAATGGACTACACAGCATCATATCCCAAAAGATATAACTTCAAAATCAGTTTGGGGTGGGGGAAAGATGTCATTCAAGTCCATTTCTGGTGGATCTCTGGTCTTTCTACTACCCATTCAAACTTTCCCCTGCTCTCATACAGAAACCATAAAAAACTAAGTGTGGGCTATCTTACAATCAGATTTATATACAAAAAATTTTGGACTTTAAAGGAAGAATCAATTTTCTCTTAATGACATATCAAAAGTTCTTGTTCTGGTGACAATGATTCACTAAATTTGAATACACTTGGCTGTCAACTTATGACCGGCCACACTTACAACCACAAAAAATGAAAAATAAAAGACGATTAAAATGTAAAAGTTCTTAAAAATAAATTATAAAGATAATAAAAAGATTAGAAAGTTTAAAAAATACTGTTAATAAATATATGGTCAACATACAACCAAATGGACTTACGACCTGTCAGTCAGAATGGAAGTCGGTCATAAGTCAACGACTAAGTATATACTTATATAAAACAAGAGCCACATTCTTTTAGTACATTAAGATAATGTAACAAGTGCTGGGTACAGCATTCTGCGTGAAAATAGGACTTGAACACCACAAAACTATTTTTTTCATTCACATACACATATATAATAATAATAATAATAATAATAATAATAATAATAATAATAATAATAATAATAAT